CACCAAATTCGATGCATTCTGCTTTTAGTATATCAGCTAAAGATACAAAGACCTAAAAATGACCAGCTTTAAGTTAAATTTCTGGAATCTTTGAGATTAAACTAGCTTATTATTTATCTAGCAAACAAGTAAAATGCTTCTGATAGAGTAATTTTTTCTTAATTTTTAGTTTCCATGTTTTGAAATAAATTTTTTTGCACCAGGTGCTATGTTATAATACCTCAATTTGATTACAAAAGTTAGCATTTCAAAAAATTCAACTTTCTGTAAAATTAAATTCTTGTGCAGTTATGATGCCGTAACTTCTTTACTTTGGTGCACTTTTACTTTGAAAATTTAAGACACAATTCAGCAAAAACTGAAAAACGTACACCTCCGTAATCAGGTATCTCATTTCTTCTGCAGTCATCAATAATTTCCAATATAAAATCAAATAATTTCGGTACTTTTTGCAAAAATTTTCGACGATTAGTCGTATGAGCTTTGATTTTGTGTTTGAAAATTGCTTTTTTGTCGCAATGTTTCAGATGTGCCCAAGGTAAAGTATCAGTCAGTAGTTCAATGCACATATAAAACCACGATTCTACGTCATCTCGACGTGATTGTTCATAAAAAATTGCACTTTTTCGTTACTACTTCCAAAAATGCTAAACATTTGCTACTTAATTAGTTTAATTATTATGACTGATCAAATTTATATTTTCTAAATTTTAATATAAATAATATAAATAACAATTTTAAGTTGTTATTTCAGCCTGAATGTTTACTTCAATAATAATTTTCTTTCAATTAAGTCTGTATTAAAGTTTTACAATTACTATGATTAATAAATTTTTTTCTGAGATCTAAAAATTAATGGCAGTAAATAATAATATGAGAAGAAAGTAATAAAATTCATCATTTGTAACTGCTGCATAAATAAATAAATACAGATGACAAATTTTATAAAGTAAAAATTAGATCAAAAATGTTTTACAATCTTTTTGTGATTAGCAATTGAGCAGTACCGAGCTGTTCCAACCCAAGAAATCACTCTTTCTAATTTCTCGTCTTCAACATTTATCTCCATCCTACAAATTACAGTGATAGTTTGTTGTAATTATTCGTAAAAAAATCTGAGTTACTTTTTTATATGAGACAAAATAAAAGTCAGTAAGTTTTAACGGTGAGCTTTAGCTTTTATTAAAGTGTATTCATTCTAAATAAAATTTTAAAAAATGCTCTGAGCAACAAGCAAACTACTCAGATCCTTTTTGCTATTAAAAATGTTCGATTCATTTGTTGTTTTTGATTCAGTTATTTTCACTGTTATTGTGACGATTAAGCAATGCTTTGGGAGCTTTTTTCATACATTTTATTATTTTTTTATATTTTTGTTTTTATTTTTATTTTATTGAATACTATTTTACAAATATTTGTTTCTATAGTATCATTGCAATACGAATATTTTCACAACTGAAACACTTTAAAATTGTGCTTGAATTTATTCTAGCAAGCACTGTCTTGCTGTTAAAACATCGTGCTTTTATTAAAAACAAACTGAAATAATATATTATAATTAATAATATTATTAGCGTATATCATTTCAAAGAAAATTATCGAAAGATATAACTTCTTGGCTGTTCCAAAATCAATCATGCGAATAAGTCTTTGCTTAGGTCCAGCCAAACCAATTGTAAAATTATCCGGTTTGATATCACGGGAAATAAAACCGACTTGATGAAGCTCTTCGATTGCATGCAAACACTAAATCAATTTTCGATCATAAAATTCAAGTGTTTATTTGTTTTGCATATCAGAGGATGTAAGTATTATTGAATTTATTTGAAAATTTTCACTTAATTGGCTGATTGAATGAGCCTAAAAATTAAAATTTTTCAAAATTTATAGCTGAAGATTGGTTTTAATTTCTTATTTTTATCATTTATTTTATTAGTTATTAATTCTTCTCATAATTTGATGCAGTGTGTCATTTCATGTCAGACATGTAATTTGAAGTCAAATGTGACACAATAATGAAAGAATCAAAACTCAGTTCTACTTTCTACTCACTCATTGATGATCCTTCTCTACTCTCAGTTCTGAATCAGAAAAAATTAAAACACTCTTTACATATCTAAGTAATTTATATCCAACGTAAATAATTTAAATACGAAAATTATTCTCGTTTTAATTTTAGTTGAATATGCAAGCACAGTGTACTTCGTGATTGTGCTCTAAACTCTAAACTTGTACACAAATACTTAGTTCATAAAATATTTGTTACAGTTCAAAAACTAATTTTAAAAAAAGTTTTATATTTATTGGTAAATAAAACAGCGATTTTTACTACACTCTGTGCAATAAAAGTAGTAATTTGTTCATATAGAAAAAATGTTATGATTTAGTTGAAGTTCAAACTGAATATTGTTTACAGAAGGATTTTCTTTAAAGCATTTTGAATTTGACAGGACCTAAGTATGGTTTTTTGGGAGAATGCATTCAATTCATGCTTTTATACCACTGTTCTCAGTAAGTCAATTACTTATTTACGAAAACAATAAAAATCAGACTAGTTACCTGCATAGATACACGGATGGCAGTGCTGAGAGTAAACTTTTTGTCAGGTAATTGTTTTTTCAATTGAACTAAACTCGGTCCAACCAATTCCATCACAATAAAATGTGTGGTAACATCCATGCCCTCATCGTAAAATTTACAAAAATGAATACAGTTATTCAAAGCTTTTAGCACTTCCATCTAAAGAAATAGTACTTTATGCTAAATATTTTGAAAATTTTAATAATTTATTATAACTGCATCAAATATGCTTATAATTGTAGATACGGATGTTTGAAAATTTTGAAAAATTATAATTTTTTGAAGAATTAGCTAATAAAAAAAATCCCATACTTCTGGCATAGACGAATGACAAGATTGCATTTTGATTGCGACTTTATTACCTTCCGAATTCTCCGACTGGAAAACCACTCCGAAGCCACCTCGAGCTATTATTTTTTTCAATTTATACCTTACACCATTTTGAGATATAACTGTGTTGCATAGCATTTCTTCTTCATTATTGCATGCTAATAATTAATTTTTATCTTTTAAAGAAATTTTACTCATGCAAATTGTAAACTGCAAATGAATTTACATATTTTACTTCTTCCAAACTGAAACACAATAGATAACAATTCTTCTTAATATAGCATGCATGAATTTTTCAATGCTTCTTTTCAACAAGTTGGGTAGATAAAGTAGTTCAATTTTTCAATTTATATAGAGACTTTAAAAAGCTAGCTGATATTTGATTATTTTATGATTTATCAGTTAGATCCAAAACGCACTCATCCAACTTTAGTTACACAAAATGAAAATAAAAACAAGAAATGCCGAGTTTCGAGAATCTACTTTTTTTTAAAAATATAATATAAAATAATCGAGATAGACTTTATATAAAGTCTAAACTTTACTCAGAAGCTTTCGAAAAAGCAATCCCTTCGTGAATGATAAACTTGAGCAAACTAAGGCAGAATTAATCACCTGCCATAATTTGCTTCTGAAAGAAGACATTGTCTCTGAATTCATAATTTAACATGACCAACTAATAGATCGCATACGACATGACAAAGTAGTCATGAAGTTTCGGACGAGAAACTAATTAAGATATATTCTCGAATTTTATTGTTTGACTTGTATACTTGACATGTAATAAAAGATCTTTTATCTATTTCTTTATTTCCTCTGTTTTATCTGCTCATTTGTACATTTATTAATTATAGAAAAGACCAAATATTAACTGAAAAATTGAAAAGTTAAAAGATTTTAATATTAACTCTTAAAAAAACAAAAATAGTAGTGTCGATTGGAAAATATGCGAAGACATAGAATTTATATAAATATAGAATTACTATTATTTTATTAGTTTGCATTTATATAAATACAAAATTTATTATGGCAAAGTTTTAAGGATAAAGTTAAAATAAATGTACGATTTTATTTCAAATGAGATATAAATTGTATTTTCAAACATTGCCTTTTTTAGATGAAAATGAAGTATATTATATATAAGAATTTCTATCACTTCGGAAAACCGGTCTTTAATTTCGGAACTGAAGTCAAATCAGACGTAGTGACAGCAATCCCGTGAAAGGCTATGTTTGGTGGGATTCAGTCGACCACCCGAAAGTAAAAATCTATTTAGTGATCTAACTGCTTATTTAATTTACTTTCTTATTAATTATATTGCTACAAAATTAATGCTTTTAAAGTTATACTAGATATTGTTTTCAAACTTGCTTTCAGCTTTGATGGGCTATTTTGTTAAGATTAAATATATAGCAATCGAGTTGGCAGTTAGTAATTTAAAAGTAAACACTTCAGACAATTACATCTTATTATATTTGAGGTATTAAGTTTCATTTAAGAATTAGACAACTTTCAAAAAGCTGCTGAACTTGTCATTCTTGATTTTCATAAGCATTATTGGTTTAGCTTACTTGAGTCTTACTTAAGTAAAATCTGTCTGCGAAGAAATTAATAAGCATTTGGAATGTTTAATAATAGGAAAGTACAAGTCAAAATTCTGGTACTTTGGATGTTTTCGTAATTGATTACATAGTCATTTATTGATTAAAATTGATTAAAAGATTTTTAGTTGAAAAATTGAAGAAATAAATGTTCATAAGTCTAGAATGCTTTTTGATTAGATTACATAGTCAAGTAGTGAGTAACAACAATTTTTCCATGTATTTTATAAATATTATTGCTAGCAAATAGGATTGTTATTGAAAATGGAAGTGAGAATATTCCGTGAAAATATTGATGAGACTTAATGATGACTTTAGCGTTGTTTTTGCCTTCTAAAGCATTTAAAATATTTGTAAACAATTTACAAAAACTTTTTATTTTTGAAATTCAACAAAACAAAGCAATAACAGCAAAAAGCAAACGCAGTTGCAGCGTATAAAATAAATAAAATTGCTCAAAAATAATACACTTGAAGAATACAATTTCTCAATTGTAAACTATTGCTGTTCTTCAATAATTTTTTTGGTTCCTATTTTGATAAAAATTATCGAAAATAAGAATATTCGTTAAAATTTAAAATGATATTTATGATATTTCACACATAAAAGCTAAATTTGAAATGATATTTATGATGCAATAAGCAGGTAATGTTTTACGTGATCCAACAACATTCTTCTAAATCATTTAAATGAATCTTAAAAGGTTTTGATTGATAAATAATTGCTCATCGCGAGTATAATGTTACTTATTATTTATACTATTATTACTTTGTTAACTGAAATTTCTGGCAATAAAGAATGACAAGTATTGCTTATTTCATGAATAAATGCGATGACCTTTAACATTTTAATTTATAATCAGAACTTTATCTTTGTGTTTCACTAAACTTGCTATGTATTTATTTTATTTGAAAAAAGAGTGATATAATTTCAAATAGTTTTGTTTAAATGTTGCAATGACAGCTTGATATGCTGCAATAGTTGTTTCGCTGATATGCATTAGCTTTCGCCCCTCACACAGCTTAAATTAAATGTTTCGGTCATTCTGTGATATTTTGTTGCATGAAATAAGAATTTAAGATTTAATAATTGGCAATTATTATGTTAAATTTATGTTATTGAAAAGAGAATGGGCAGTTTTCTGCATGAAATAATAAATGCTTTTCCACATACTTCTGAATTACTTTTTCATTCATTCACTTCTCAATTCACAAATAAATTTATGGCGATGAAAAAAAGCACTTTGGCCGTAGAATTTTTGGGTAATTTTAAAATTTGATAAATTTTAGTTTGAGAATAATTTTATTATGGTGTAAAATTTATATTTTAATCATAAAAACAGTGAAGTTATTGAATACTGATACTATTATTATGACATTCAATATTGATAGCATTATTCAAATGAGTAAATCCTGTTTTCTGTTACAAAGTGTTTATTTCTCTAAAGCAAGAATTAATCCTTTGTTATCAAGTTTATCATGTGTTATTTGTGAATGTAAAACTTGCGTCATATTTATTAATAGTCTTATTAAATAATGATCGAAATAATAAACCAAAAATAATGATCGAAATTAAATAATAGTAATTTTTTTATTCTAAACATAAATATTTGAAAATTTAATTTGATTCCAAATAACTAAATGTAATGTGCGAAAAAATCAAATTTTTTGCTTGTTTCGAGTAAACTCGTGCCAAGTTAGGTCGATTAGTAGTAGTAATTTTATTCTTACGATTTTGATAATTAATTTTGACACTTAAGCAATGCTTTACATAAATTTAAATTTATGTGTAGTAATGACAAAAAAACTGGAATTGAAGTAGAAGACTAAAAATTGGAGAGAGTCGTGAAAAATCAGGCGAAAACACCGATAATTAATTGCATACAGTCAAAATAAATTATGATACTAGTTGGATTGACAAGTCAGCAAAAAGTTAACTTTTATATTCGCGCAGTATATATGATTTCCATTCGTGATATCCATATCTGCTAGTATCTGTTATCATTATCTGATTATAGCCTTCAAAACGTGTTAAATGCGAGCAATGCAGAAATAATTTCAAATTAATGAACCATAATTTTACAGTTAATAGTAAAGTATACTAATCATACTGTGTTTTCATTTTCAACGTTTAAACATATAAAATGACGAAATATTTTATTTTCTATTTCTCCATAATTAATTTTTGGTTATTTGATATATATTTCTTGAAAGTAAAAACGCACAATTTGCTATTCATGTCAGAATGGAGTTTTCACTTCAAATCCAAGTTCAGTCTCAAATGCATCTCATATTTAATATCTTATTCTAACAATTATTGTACGTGGATTATTTTTAAATTCCATGAATAACAAAACTGTTAGCACACGTCATAACAAAATTTGAATTTTTTTAAAATGCTTCAAAGAGAAATTTTACATTACCAATCCATGATGAATCGTTCATTCTTTATTTTTGATCATCTTTGCAATTTTTATCTCATAAACCATTGGTTTGAGTTCATTTCTAACCATTTATTAACCATTTATTAGAATTAACCTTTTTGATTAGCAATAAATCTATGCTAGAAAATCACTTGCACAGTTCGATAAATGATTACACAATATTATCACTTTAACACACTTCAATTTTTGTGCTGTTTTTCAAATTCTTGTAATTTATCATACGCTTCTTTGTCGAAGAAATAATCAAACACAAAAATTTAAACGTTCAGTTAGCCCTGCAAGATATTTCTGCAGTGCGCAATTGATTGCGTTGAAGTTTAACCAGATGGCGAATAATACATTTGATTCATTCATTCATTTGTAGTGCTTGTAAATACTTTTCAGCAAAACATATTTGCAGAAAAACATTAAAATTGATTTAAAATAAGTTTTTTTCCCCTTCCAAATGCAAAGATGCAAGTACAGCGATGGAATTTGTTCTCAGCTCTGTTTCTGACGACGACGAATTGCCTTGTGTAAACTACCGAAGTGGGAATGCAAGTGAAAAATTACGCTAAAAACTGAATAAATTCTTTGACTTTTTGTCAAAAAAGCTTAGTGCATCTGTGAAAAACTACAAAATATATTTAGTTTTAATTAATGACTTTGTTTTTTATTCTCTGCATTTGAATGCTCTTAAGGATTCTAACATTTGAAAATAATTGATACAGTAGAAATTTACAGTAATTACTTGGCCACAACAGAAGGATGAATGTAATTCGCGGACTTCTATAAAATTAGGCATGAATGAAACTATTCAATAAATTTAGCTAAAATCATATTACAACCCGAAAAAGCTTCTAGCACAAATTAGAGCAGAAATTAAAATTTATTTTTTAGACTATTCACTGAATTTATTAATTTGTCAAAAATCAAATTTATTAATTTTATAGTCAGTTTGATAAGCCACTTCGATTCCTTCAAAATAAACAATTATCAACAGTTGTCCAAAGTAATCCTGTTTTTCCTCTCAGTCGTTATGTTGATTGAATAGTTTTACTATAAATGATAAGAACATTTTATTTTTGAAAACACTGTTTGGTATTCCTTAACAGATGGATTTCAGTTACTTGAGTTATTTTCTTCTATGTTATGCTGTCAATTTATTCATTTTGTCCGATGATTAATTCATTATTAATTAATTCATTATATCCACTATCAGTTATGAGTTTGTATGTGGACAATTTTTGAAAGGGTTGTCTTTACTGATCATATTGGTTTTTATTCTAATTGATTGGACATGTCTGATCTATTATTTCCTAAAAATGACTTTTTAATTAATTAATTAATTAATTAATCGATTGATTGATTCAAGGTGAAACTGAGGGAAAGAGTGGAAAATTGGCCAGAGCAATAAATGGTTGCTGTATATTAGATTAAATCGGTGAGAAGGAAAGCAATAACAGTATCATCGGAAGTTCTGCCCGCAGGGGTTATTATCGCATGATTTTGCCATCTCCCAAAAGGACGGACCTATCGAATCGAAAACTTTTCTCTGCAATTCGTGAAAAATTGTTGCGCGTCGACGACACCTCCAACATGTATCTCTCTATTATTCCATCTATACTTTCCTTTAAACATAATTAATATTTCTGATTCAACTGACCAGAAATCAGAATCTAGAGTTCTTACATTACTTTCACGGTTATAATAATAACAACCTGTTATTATTGTTACTTTATTATTAATATTATTATTATTATTATTATATTATTATTAGCGTTGGTTATTATTATGATTGACTCAACACCACTGCCGTTATCTGAATCAACTTTTATCACTACATTACCATTATTAACAACGAGAAGTTTGTCGAAAATACAGCATTCTATCAAAATATTTCTTGTACTGTTAATATTTTTGTCGGGTAGTTCAGCTCAAAGTAATACAAATATTCTCATAAATTCTGATAAAATTGGATTAAATTCTGGTAAAGCACTTCAAATACCTAAAATTGTTGGTCATCAATTGGGTACTGCTGCACACGCTCCAATCACAACTGTATTTCAGCACAATAGTGATAAGAATGATAGTGTGACTGGTAAAGATAATCGTTATCAAAACCATCAATGTCCGCCGAATACTTTTAGTTGTGGGGATGGTACTTGCATCCCACAAGATTGGATTCAAGATGGTGAAGCTGATTGTCTGGATCTATCTGATGAGTTAATTAATCGAGCGAAAACATTTCTTTCATCAATTTCAGATTCAAAAACTCCTACTACTGTAATTACTGATAACATTAGTGAAGGGTCTTCATTCACTACTGAAGAACCATTTGATGATCCATTTGATCAAATTGTAACAATATCCATTTCATCATTCTCTCATTCCGGTGATAAAGCATCAACTGACGGAAAAAATTCAAGTATATTGTTATCTCCAGATATTTCTATTCCAAGAAACAATATCAAAAGTTGTTCAGATATTATGCAAGCAAGAGTAAATCAATGTTCTACTGATCTAACTTATTGGATGACGAATTTGGATCAGATTGATCTAACAAATTCATCATTGCTCAACGATGATACAAGGTATCTTGTACACTTTCAAAATGTAGTTTATCGCATTTGTTCCAACAAGCGATCAAAATCGTAATGATATATATATATAATCGAGTAATGACCAGTCAATAATTATTCACCAATTGAAGTAAATTCAATACTTTCACTGATTACTTGTAATTTTTTCTACTCAAATTTCAAACAAAACTTCAGTTACAATTTTTTAGTTCCAGAAAAGTTGCTTACAGAAAGAGCACTGTATTAAATACTTTGTTCTCTTAGGAGAGTTTGTTTTTCATTATTTTGCAAAAATTTTGTAATTAATACTATTTTGGCTGTATTATAGAAAGAAGTTTTCGAGTAAGATTATTCAAATTAAAGTTAAACATTTATTTGAATTGAATCTACTAATAGTTTTCAAGCTACAATAACAATAATACCACTGTGCGCATTTCAATCATTCAAATATTATTCTTTCTTGACGTATAGCAGATTTATCTACTAAAATCCTTCTATTATTAGCTTTGTCTGATTGAAGAATTTTGGAGTTTGACAACGAAAAAAGTACTTCGAATAGCTGAAACATTTGGCGTGAAAATCGGGTCATTTCTATTATTTTTATCTAATTGTCATTTTTGCAGCTCAAAATCATCCCCAACTTTCCACTGCAAGTAATCCACGGCTCATTTTTCTCGTTTTACTATCGCAATTACAGAACATTGTAACGGTTCATTCAACTTCTCAGTGTCAATTCTTACATACATTTAACAAATGCATTCACAGCATAGAATATTTCAGCAAAAAAATAGGCAAAAATTGAGATTTCTTTTTTACTTTATGCAAATTTTCGGAACAAAAATAGGATTAAAATTTTGTAATTGTACAGTCAAAATGAATAATCAGTGATGATATGTTTTTAATCCGTTCACGTGACCTTATTTCTTGGCTACCACAAAACTAAGACAATTATTTTGCCGACAGATTTGAAGGACATCAGTGCAATTTATGTTTCATATTTAGTGCAGAGTTGTACAAAAGTTAAAAATTATTAACTGTTTTATTTCTAAAATTCAAAGCATACGTCAGTCTCGCAGTAAAAATTTGGTTCATTTACTTTCGTGTTTTGGTTAATTAAAGTGTCAATTTTTTTGATTCAAATCAAGCAGAAATGTTTAAGCAAAATGAGTGAGAATTTTTGCAGGCGAATCGAATTTCATTTTCAAATTGATATCTTAAGATTGGAACCGAATATAAACTCTATAATGTAAATTTAAATGTGCGATAAATGGAAGTTCAATGACTTTTTTAATTTTGATAAGACTGAGTTTAACAAAGTAAACTGTTATAATTCTTTATCGAAATTCAAATTTTAACTAAAATAGCCATCAAATATTCATCGAAAAACTGTGTTTTACTTTTTTGAAAATTAAAAAAGTCAATTTTATTTTATTTAACTTGCAAGTTTAATTGTAAACTTTTTAAAACTTAAGCCTCTTGCAACAAATTTATTTCAAATTACCAGTAATCTTAAAGAAGAAAATTCCATCAGTTCCTTCAAATATTTCAAGTTTTCATCTGCAATTCACACTTTTTCCAAATTAATGGAATTTTTTGAACAAGGTCAAAAGTCAAGGTGCTTACGTCAGCAAGAAAGGATCAAACTTCAATTATGTATTAAAAAATTATTACGAAGCATAATTTAGTAATATTTTATTCTGTAAAAATTTCTAAAATTGTAATCATTTAATTTTCAAAGTTCAATAACATACCAAATTCTAATTTTGAACATAATATCAAGTTCTGTTTTGATGTCAACTTTAAATATCAGATATTAAGTAGAAAATTAATTCAGCCGAAAGACTAATAAATGAAATTATCTGAACTCAATTAACTGTTTCAGTAAAGTATTTCAATCTTTTTTAATTTTCTTCAAGTATGTCAACTAATTCCATTATTTTAAGAATGCAGTAAATACTTGAATAATTGATGAACAATGAATATAATAATAACAATAAGCCAGAATAATTTGCCTTTCCTAAATTTTCTGTTAAGAGTAGTTAAAATTATATAAAATTATTAAAAAATGACATCAAATTAGTAGAAAAATCAAAAATTGACCAATTTTTCTTTGTGACCTTTTTAATAATTACTTTTTACATTTAACATTCACACTTGTACGGGTTTTCTACTCACGTATATGAAAATTAGAGGTCAGAAAGAGAAAGACTATGAAAAAAATTGATAATAAATCTGTTTCCTACACACATAATGTATCTACTGTTAATTCTTTCAAGTTAAATTTTAGAATAACCAAATTTTTGAAGATTCAATTTTACAATGCTCATCTCATTTAATTTATTCTTAATAAATTCTGGCTTTAATTGGTTTTTATAGTATTTTAAAAGCAATCTAAGTAACAGCGAACAATTTTATACATTAGAAAATTCACATAATTACTTTTTGCGCACTTCTAATAATGATATGATAATTTTGCCATTCCGTATCTTTAACATTATATTCTTTATCATCATTATTTTTTTCATTGTTATTAATATAATTTGAAGGAAACGTTATTAGAAGTATTCTTAATCAAATAAGTCATGCTCCGGTTTATTTATATCAAATAGAACATGCTTGGATGAAATGTTTAGTTTGTTCATCTTCGATGGCACAGCAAGTTTTGAAAAACATTATTAAATATAATCGGATATCTTTAACATTACTGTAAAAACAGGATTTTTTACTTTTGAAATTTCATATCAGTCATCAGGAAATGATTATTAACTACTATTGAATTTCAGTAATGAATAGCTTTGAATTTTCATAAGCTGTTCATCGTTGAAATTATTCATCAGAATGTTTGAGGATTTCTAACTAATCTGCAAATGGGACCAACAACAATCAGTAACACTGAAAACTCATAGTTAACAAATAAATAAAAAACATCACCAGTGATATCATTATTGTCATTCTTTTTATAACAATGAGATCAGTTGAAATTTTCAAATAATCTGAAGTACTGAAGAGAATATTTTGAATATAAGAGAAAAATAGGTTGAAAAATTACTTGTTCTTAATCAGCGAAAACAATTTTTAAGTTTTAAATCAAGTTGTTTTTAAATATTCAAACAATGTAGTATCATGGATTTTTAATTGCAGATGGCGCGTAATGGATCAAGGCTGCAGTTTATTGCTGGAATTCCGAACTTGTACGGAAACTGTTAATGTCAACGCATGCGTATTACCTAATTCAATCAAATTCTGGAATGACGTCGAACTTTACGTATGTCAACTACTCATGCCATCTATCAAAGAGTACAAAAGTTGCTTTTCAAATGCTCGGAGTAAATTTTGTGCAACAAAGTTAGTTCATATTTTCACCTTATATCAATTACTGCTAGATTTCAGTATAAATTTTTTGATGAAACAAATTAGTAAATTGTTAGCGTAAATTTTTATCCAAAATTAGAAATTTTTTTCATTTTTTACATTTTCTTTGCGTGTTACCAAATTCAATCAAACTCTGGAATAACATCTTTGCTTCAAAGTTAAAGTTATAATATTTCGATCATCTAAGTAAATATCTTAATTAATACACTTTTTATTTTTGCTACCTACAATTGAAGATTACACAACTTTGCTGATCATAAAATACTCGATAAGATTTAAGTTGAAAAATTTGTATGTGAAAGATACAGTTTACTTTACTTAAAATTTTTCAGAACTATTTGTGTTTGTAGTCGCAAATTTAATTTGGAAAAATTCTTTAAAGCATTCATCTATATTATTAATAATTTTTGCGCAGAATGAGAGATTAATTTTTTTTTAAATATCTGTTTTTATCTGTAAACTAAATTTTGAAAAAAAACGAAATTTGTATGATAAATTCAAAAAGTTACTTCTTGGAAAAAGTCTACCACAAAGTTAATTCTTATTTAATGAATAATTAATTCTTCATTTCAGTTTTTAAATTCCTATTTTACTGTCAGCACTTTTGCTTTTATTTGAAAAGTTGTCTGAAACAGATAAATTTTCTTCGGTTTTCGTAATTTAAAAAAAACAAAATTTACTTATATTTTGTCTAAACAAAAGAATTTTCAAGTAGAAAAGGTAGTGAGTGCATTGTGATAAAAAATTGCGGCACGAAGTGATTTATAAAATCTATCATTTTTTATTTGTTTAATAAATCTAAAAGATTTAAAAAGTTTTTAAATGATAAAAAACACTTTTACAAGAACTTTAATTGATCACACATGCAAAGTTGTTAAGAGACAGTAATTGTAATTGTAAGCAAATATTGAAAATATTTTAATAATTTTGATAATAATAGTGATAAATCTTCTTCTAAATAATAAATTTAATAATTTTGCTCAAATTTTTAACTTGAAAAAATCCTCGATATTATTTGAAAGCAATTACATTCTATTTTTGACTAAAAAATTCCTAAAAATTTCTTTTAATTTGACATAATTACTGAAAAAGAAAGCGATCCTTTGATATTATCATTGATAGCAAAATTATTCGGTAAAGATGACTCGAAAAACATGTTAGTAACATTCAGAATTAATATGCAAATATCCAAGAAAACAATTACTAAAAATAATGGGATAAATGCGTGAACTTGAAGAACACGTGAAGACATAAATATTTGTATACTAAAGTCCTTCGTTATTGACATTTTTGAAGATGAAGTCTGCCCATAATTTATGAGACTATCTTTAATTAATAAGTTTGTCTTTGCACAGAACTACTACATGAATTAATTTAAGTGAATTAAATAAGCTGAGCAAATTCATATCAAGTGTGCCTTTGGATGAGTAATTTGCAATATTAGTTCAAGGTTATATTAGTGCATAGAACTGAATTTATTGGTGATTCATTTAAAATCCCGATCACAAGTAATGATGTATCTATCAGAAGTATTATTCGTTTGCTAAAAAGCAGAAGATTTTTCACAAGCAATTTCCAAGTTATTTTATACAGAATTTGCAAATCGATTGTGACTGATAACAATGACTAAAGTCGCCATCAGAATCATGTAATTTGGCTATTGTTCATTGCCTATTTTGTATACTGTAGTATTAAAAATTTGATTCGAAATGAGTAAAAAGTTAAAAAAACTTTGCATAAAAATACTTAAGTATCGATAGTCAATATTACTTACAAAATATGACTACTCATATATTGTTAACAATAAAACATTATCTATCAAATATCCATAGCAATAAATGGCAGTGATTTAGTACTGTTTACCTAAATTACCTGTATTTATTCTTACTGATATATTTAATACTAACTGCTGATGCCTAATCATTCTTTGCCAAATATCAGTATTGGAAAAAATTACTTTTTATATCAAATACTATTTCAAATTATCAGATTTTTTTGTGAGATATCATTAGGTCACCACATGTAGTCAAGTTTTGGTGATTAAAAGATGTGAATGAAACATCGCTTTAGCTTTAGTTTCTAATAATACCACTGTTATCAATCAACTAAATGAGGCAAAAGTGGTTTGTTTTTCAATCAGAAGCAAAGTTATTGTCAAATTTTCCAAAAGTTTCGTATTTTAAAAGTTTTAGAGTATGTAAAAAAGGCAAGAAATTGTATGTTAAATTAAAATTTTATTATAAAAACAATCTTAGAATAAAATTCTTCAGGATTTCAATTATTAATAAGATTTACTGATTTATTTAAATCAAAATGAGGTGCTTAAATCTTTTAAATAATTATAGCAAATCTCATGACTTTTGCCAACTACAGATTTTTAAATAATTCATGTGAACATATGGCATCTCATTTATTGCAGTAATAAACATTTAACTAATTTCGATTGCAGAAGACTGCATTAATGCTCACTGATATTCCTTGCTTCAAACATAAAACTATTGAATAATTTTTGAAAACTCTCAGTAGTTCTAAAATTTTGTCTGATTTCAGTGCTAGTCAAGACGAATTCGCTCCACCGATGTGTCGAATTTTGTCATCAATAAGATCTGATCTGCAATGTGTCCAGAAATATCCTGAGAATGATTGCTCGGAAAGTGCTCTCGAAGTGATTGGACCGCTTGAGAGTGAGACTGATCACATGTATACACAGTTTACCTGTGATTATGTCACTAATATTGCAGCACTTGCGGGTAGTACCAATTCCCCACTGGGAATACTTTCAGGTGATTAGTATTCCGTAACTGAAGTTAGATATGAGAGTTACGAGAGTATAAGTACTAAAAAGTAATCTGAAAATTTTCAGTTTTATTCTACGAAGAAAATTGACAATAACTTCTGGCTAATTTTGTATTTTTGCTCAATGTCAGTTAATAAAAGTATAAAAGTACTAGTTTAAAGAAATGTTTGAAGTTTTAAATTAATTTGAAAGCAACTAATTTTAAGAGTTTTTAATAAAAATTAATATCGAAAAAATTTTTGCTAATTTTTGATAAGTGCTTTTTTAATTTTTCTATTTTTAATTCTATTCAAGTATTATTAAAATGGCTATGGATCACGCAAAGGCCAACATCCATTACTTGAGAAAGTGAAATGTCGCAATGAAAATACTTTTTTAGATGACAATATTCCATATAATGTATTGTATACATTCCATGAAGTCGACACAATTTGTCTAACAAACGTGAAGTCCGTCGCGTGGAAAGGCATTTATGATGCAATCTGCGCTAATCAGCAGCAGTTATCACTGCAGAAGCAATGTTTCTTAAATGCATCTAATTTAGTTCAATGCAATAAAAAAGTATTGCATTTATTTGCATATCGCAATAGGTTGTATAATCCCTTTTACTTAGAAATCTTAGCTGATTTCTCTAACTTTTAATAAAATGCATTTTGAAGTACTTTAGTAATGTTGCTGGGGCCAAGGATAATTTTTTAATTGTTATTAGCTAAGCATAAAATGCTGAAATAAGCGTTTTAATAACCTCTTGTATATTACTAAAATGTTTATTATTTCAGCCTCAAAACAATACTGTTTGTGATGCCTTGGAGCAATTTAGTAACAATATTGACTGCGCATTACGTGTGATGGTTGACGTATGCACTATTGAAGCACAAAATGTTGCTGTAAATGTGCAAGATGCATTAAATGATAATTTGATTATGAATCATTGTTACAAGGAAACAACAAAAGATAATGCATTGGGTGATTCAGGATTCAAGTTAGAACCAAAAAATCCAAGCTGTTCCTCAGAACAAGTACGTGCACTTTTTTTAGTAATGGATAAATTTAATTTATAATTTCATATCTGTAAGACATAACTGACAAAAACTGCACCACGGTGGTGGGCAGTAATTTGATGCGTTAAAAACTGAATAAAGTTTGCAAAAAATATTTGTGATAAAGTTTAGTTGAAGCCACTGGTGCTTTTCAAGTTGCTTAGTTTATGTAGAAGAAAAAAAGTGAAATAAGAATATCAAGAAGTCAATCTATTATACTAATGCTTATGAACTCTCAAAAACTCGCCAAGTTTTCAAAAAGTTTGAAAAAGGATAAATTTCAAACTGAAGTTTGTGACTTATTTTAATTAAAAAATACCTTTCAGGAAAATTTGGCTTTGGCATGTTTAGTAGAATTAGTTGAAGTCAATCGAAAAATCACCGAATTGAATAATGTAAATTTTCTGAATGAAATAAGCGAAGATAATTCAAGTATAATATTTGAAATATGCAATTTATATCAAAAATATGAAATGTGTATCAATACTACAGTATTTACTCGTTCTGGTGGCAAACGCTGTGCTTTTAATTCTCCTCTTAACAGTCTTGCCAGGTTAATTTTACTTTAATCTTTTTCAGTACACTAACTGATTCAAAATCATCATCACTGATCGCATTGAATAAAGATTCAAATCATTTTAATTCTTTCTTGATCTTGTAGAATGATCTAATATTCATTTTTATAATAGATAACTTTTGAAGAATTATTTTGGAGACGAAATTACAAGCTTTAGCATTAATTTGCCTGCTTTATGCCAAATATCATAAAAATTAAATACGAAGAAGAAAAAATAAACAGAGTCGTAAATTTTTTCCAGAAATATTTGAGGTTTATCCCTTTAAATTTTGGATCTTTAGTTTGTTTGTCCACTATCACCTACTTTTCTCTCTTAAAAAAACTTCAGAATTGGTTTATCTCCCATCTGCAACGAAGTTACACGTTCACTATTCCAAAAAAACCAGCAGTGTATCCAAAAAGTCAAGCAAAGAACGAGCATTTGTCAATCTGGTTTAAACAGCCTTGGTCCTGCTATACATTTTATGCTACAGGTGACTGCAACTTTTATTAATTATCTTTCTTACGTGGTATATGAATATATTAAGTAATAGTGTAAATAATTACAGTGACTAAAATCATATGTAAATTAAAAATTATTTAACACAAGTGTGAATAATTTTTCAAACATTTTAAGTATTTCATTACTGCAAATTTAAACTCAAATTTGTATTTACTTAATAAAGTTATTTTTGTTACTTTAGGGCATACATGGAGAAGCACATTTATGTAATTCATTTTATCGTATTCGAGATGCATTCAGTTGCGGTGAAAAATTATTTACTGAAACGTGTACAAGTGAAGTTGCCTCAGAGTTACGTGAAATTGGAAAATGGGTTTGTTCAGAATAAAATTTATTCAAAAAAGAATTTGCTGATTTTACAAAATTTTTTTTTTGAAATTTCAGTTTTTTATTTTTAAATTAAATTTTTGACCAAATAATTAAATGTTTATTATGCCTTCATTTATTTCTAAAATTCTTTTCATCTCACACATGAAATTTTTTTGCATTTTAGATTTCTATGTTAGGTATTGAAGAAGGTTGTCCTGAAAATCCTCCAAGTAATATGCAAGAAATTCTTACGCGATCGTTTGCTGATTCATCACGCAAAGCAACTAAAAGTAAAAGCATTTTAATTTTCAGCTTTTAAAACTCAATATTTTGAACTTAAATGAATCTATTATATTTCTTAATTAAGCAATCTGTTTTTTCATAATTGACATCCTTTGCTAGTCTTTTATTGAAGGTCACGTAGAAGCGTCATCTGTGCCGAGCATGACGTGCAGTGTTGAGAAGCAGAAGCAGTTTGCAGCGTGCGTTCAACCAATAACAGCATTCCAACCTCATCCTCTAGCTGTGATCAAGCAACCAAAACAAATTGATGAAGCCTGCAAACAGTTCATAAAATTTAAGGAATGTCAGGCCAATATCAGTTGTGTCCCTTTGTGGGCAAAGGGCATGACTGCCATGTTCAACTTTGCTTGTGGTAGTGGATATGAAACTTACGTGCGGGTGAAAACTCTTTAAATTATGACATTCCAATTACTTCATTTACTTACTAGTATATTATCCCGAAAAAAATTAAAATCAACTTCCGTCACTATTTTAGCAAATTCTTTTATATATCCTTAAGAGTAATTTCGATTAATTAGAAAATCTTTAAAAAGCATTATCTTTTATAAACATTTCAGGTACGTCAGTGTATCCGTAAAACAACCACACGTGAAGATATTCGTGAATGCGTATCGGAATTCTCACGTGGTGCACCACAAGTTGCATGCCGAAGTTCAAACAAATTACTCAGCTGCGCGATTCCATTAATTACCAACAAATGTGGTGAAATCGGAGCAAAATTTGTCACTGATTACATTGATAAATTTGCAACAGTAATCGATCCTACCTGTAAAATATTAGGAGAACAAAGTGGTAAGAATGTCTGAAAAAATTATAATTAATCTTAATTAAATTCAAAAAACAATTCATTACAGAGAAATGTATTATCAGGAGAGTAATTGCTCTTGAAGATTTTCGCATTAGACATATTATTATTTCAAAAACGTAAATAATAAATACCATTATTATTAATTTTACTTATTATTGGTTCTGATATTTGCAATAAACATTGATATTTTTTCGAGCTTTAGTTCTGTCTCAAACTTAGACTTAAACTTTAGAGCTGACATATATCTATCTTCATTTATCAAATTCTTAATATAAATAATAAATAAAAGTGTGTCACACTTTTTAATAGCGTTCAAGTTTTGAGCTGCTTAATTGTAGTGCACGATGTCTTGTCCGACAAGATTACTCGCACTCCTATAAGTTTGAGTTCAAAATTTAAGCTTTGTTTAAATCTTTAGTAGTTTAAAAGTGCTTAAAATCATAATAGATTCGATTCTGAGTCAATTTTTGACTATAAATTAAGGCATAAATTTCTCGGTGAGAATATTTCAGAATGGGTTTTCCAATGATTATTATTTTGTCCACGTATATTAATACCAATGTTTAAACTACTGGGTTCTTTAATTTCATCTTTTATGGGAACAAATAAGTTATTAATTAAATGTTTGTGTGTGCTAATAAAAATTACACAAATTTTCAAAATGCATTTTGTACTTTGATTTTATTGCTTGAATATTAATTCCAAAATTTATTTCAGAAATTAAATTTTTGTTACTTATAATATTTGTCATTTGTCTTGCTTACCTCAAACTTTGTATTCTTCGAGAATTATAAAACATTAAAATTTTGCAGATAAAACTGTTGTTAGTTATAACTGTACAGAAGAGCAGACTGCTCTCATTGATCATTGTGCTGCACCTATAAGTGATCTAACTTCTAGGATCAATGAACTATTTGAGGTAAGCAATTATTATTCAAATTTCATATCATAATCATCTGCAAATTTCATACAAAACAGTCATTATTTATCCAGTTTTCAGTTTAATTCCTATTATCAGGAGAATACTGTAATAAATTCATTACTGATTTCAGGGTGGACTGCAGCAATTTTTATCAAATGTCAAGGATTTAGCACCTGTATTTGCACGAGGCTGTAATTTAAGCACTGAATTCAAGCAGTGTTTGGCACCTTTGTTGAATACTAAAAATTCTGAGCAGTGTGTGGTTTCAAGTTGCTTAATCCGTGCTGGAGATGGAATATGTGATCAGTCTGATACTGCAAAAGCTATTGATGACAATTTAGGCTGTATATTCAAGCAGGTTTGCATTTTCTGATCAGCATTTTCCCTTTTTTTTACTTCCTTTAAATCGTTGAAATAAAACAAGTATTTCTGGATTCCTGAGTAGATATTATGTTTTATAATTAACTTTTAGATAAAATAACTTTTAGATCTTTATGGAACATTAATTTTTTGGAAGTTATCATCATCATTTACTGCTGTCATAATTCTATTAATTCGATCAAAATAAATTCATTATCATCCCAATTGTACCTGATATTACTGAGATAGCATTAATGTTACCGATAATAGTGACGCTACTGTTTATTACTGTGATTACTATTATCAGTGATGCTTGTTTCAAATCAATTTCTAATACTGTATGAATGTACTGAATTCATTTTTAATTGTATGTGCAAGATTTTGAAGTAACTGAAGTTATAATATTCATCAGTGCGTTATCCTCTAAAATGTAATAGGTAATTTCAGTTTTTGGCTTACTTTTAGTATTAATATATGATAGGCATCAGAAGCGGAGTTTGGCAAATGCTTGCGCTCAACAATAAGCACTCTGAAACAATTCGACTTGAAAGCTTTGCGAAGTGTTCTGCCACAATTTGTGGATTGTGTTGAGCACATCGTTGTGCGACGCTGTGGCTCCACGCCTATTAATATTTTACGCGCTATCAGCGCAACGGAGAAATGTCCGATTCTAACAGATTCTGAGAAAGAATTAAATAAGATAGAGGCAGAAATTTGTAGCACTGAAATGGAGCGTAAACATTTGGATTGTGTTGAGAAATTTTATCAAACTTATCAAATGCAACCGATCACTCTAATCAATGATCCTCAATCAATCGATACGGTGAATTATCTCATTTTATAATAATGATTATGATTTTAATTTTGATCACCTTGACTGGTGAAAAGAATCTTGATGCTACTTTAGCTGAGTAGCTAAATTATTTGCTTATTTCCAAATATTTTTATGTGACATAATATTTGTACAAGGTATTAGAAACTTTATCACTAATCAAAACACTCAATTTCATCTTTTCTTTAACAATTTGAAACTTCACTGATTCTAACGTATAGTTGTGAAAATTTGATTAAAATTTGAAATTATTATAGTATAAAATGGACAAAAAATTGAATAAGTTATTTCAATCCAATTTTCTTTTTTTCTGAAAAAACTCTTAAACTTACTTTACAATGTCTTGCAAGACTTTAATTTCATTCATACTTTTTTTGTTTTAGAAAATGAATGACTTCTTAAGTTGATGATTGCTACCCGACTTAATTAAACTATTTTTAATTAGCATTTGCTTGTATTATAAGCTAAGATCAGTATTTATTTATTACTATCAGTTACTTTCATGTTGTGATTACTTTGTAAAACACTTAGTTCTTCAGTTATGCCTGGAATCATCAAAGTTATCCAACTGTTCCTACCTTGCCTGCGAAGACGATGAGCAAAAAGCATTTAACAAATTAGTCGACTATATATGTACAAGACATGAAGCTTACAAAAAAAATTCAGTGTGTCTTACATTGGTTGCCCATTCATTAAAAGTAAGTTAGTCGAGAATTCTGTTCTTCTATCCTTCATGAGAGAAACTATTAGAGGTCAAATAGTTCTAAATGAGTAAGTCAAGAAACGCAAAAGTATTTTTTAATCTAATTTTTTTTCAAGCGTATATTTTTTTGCATTTTCTAGTAGAAATAATTACTATGTATAGAATAATTCATATCTACAAAATAAAAATTCCCATTATCACCCAAATTTTTGCTTTTTCCCATAGAGAAGCAGTGAACTGTAAAAAAAATTTTCACAGTTCATTTACAATTACACAAAAGATCTTTTTAGAATAAATCTCCTTGACTTCATTTCAAATCTCATCAAAATTGTCATTACTTTTAAATCAAATAAAATTTCTCAGAGCACAAAGTGTATTGTGGATGAATCCGCAAAAGACTGCTTCTCACTGACAAATACTGCCAACTGCGCTGCATCACACATAAATGATGCTTGTGGCTTTGAAGCTTTAACGTTAGTAATCGAAGGAATGCACAACTTTGCTAAACAAGTATTAAATTTTTTATATTTTTGGCAATAACATGATTTTCGTTTGTAAAAATATATCGAATAATTAATTCATTTTTATAGATCAAATCTTTATTGCATCATTTGTAAGACTGAGAACATTTGACTTATATCCATATATTTTTTAGAAGCAGTGCATTTCTTACCCATTCATTCGAATATCCAATTTGAATTTTTGATTTCAATCATTTTTCATCACTGAAAATCTCAATGATTAATAGTATCAATCTTACTGGATCTGATTCACTTATTATCGATCTTACTGGATCTGATTCAATTAGTATCAATCATTCTGAATCTGACTCACTTGATTTTCACTATTTCAGTTGAATAATTCGTGCAGTATACAAATACCAATCGCAACTTTGAAAACAAACTGTTCTGAAACGGATATTATTGAATATTTGCAGTGTGAAAATTTTATTGATCGCTTCTCATTTACGCCCCTTTCATTTATAAGGTAATTCATGTATTTGATTTCTTATCAGTAATCAATTTGCAATTAATTATATCTTCTAACATTTACCAAAAATTGTGAAACGGTACATTGAAATGTATTGATTACAAGTAGAAGATTTTCATTGTATACATTCAATAATTAAAAAATATTATGGATAATTTGAATTTTAGAAATAGTTCACAATGGGATCAATTTTGTGCCGCAATTAACGGTTATGAAAATTGCGTGAATAAGATGCAATGCCATGTTGAACCAGTCTCATCTGCTAATACTGCATTATTTAAAACAATATGTGGTAAAGAAAAGCTTAAAACTTCAGAATACTTACCTTGTCTAAGTCAATTTCACGCAAGTCAAGTTGGAAAAAGTTGCTACGAACCATTTATCAGCTTTGATCTCATAGCTAAAGATAGTCCAAAGCGAATATGCGCAAGGTTAGTCATAATATTAATTAATTAATTAATAATGATTAAGGAAGGTAAAACATTGCACTGATTTAATCAAATAAAACATGAATAACACTTTCCATCAGTCTGTCTTTACCGCAAAATATTGCTCTACTGCCTAAAGTTCAAGAAAATACGAATTAAAGTTATTTTTTAAGAAAAAATATTCTTAATTGAAAATTTCTTTTCATATTTTATTAATAAGAATTGAAAAGTTATGCATTTTCACAAAATTGTTAACTTTTGAAATTTATTCAAAAAATGATGCAGAATACAGTCACTTCGCTCTTTGCGCTGTTAAAATTCTGATAATACAATCAAATACTTTTAGCATTAGGAATATGCTTTCTTGTGCATCGGTTTCACTATCATCACAATGTGGCAAAGATGCATTACACCATCTGATTCGAATGCTGGAAATTTGGCTACTAAAATTTGACAAAGGTTGTACAATCACTGATTTCTTATCGACTAAGGAAACTAAAATTGATGAACTGTCGATTGATTCTAAGCCAACGCAAATCCCAATCGATGAAATTGCTGATGATCAAACCCAAACTTCTCTATCTAATCTGTCATCTAAGTCAACCGCTAATTCTAAGATATCAGAAGCTAGTAATGAAGAATCTACGTACATAGGCGAGCATACTAGTATAATGCCTTCGTCACCCTATTCTATTCACAATTCCATAACTAATCTACCATCAGTGACAACATCAGTCGCTAACTTCTCAAAGTCTTCCGACTCTTCTCCTTTGCCCGCATCAAAAGCTACTACAGCTACCACAGATACTGACATGAAGCAACGAATGAGAGGTAATTTTCTAAACAAGTTAACCAGTAAAACTATTATTTTTATTCGATTTTCAAGTACAATTATGATCTCATTATTTTCATCAAAAAATTATGAACTGACTAATAGTTTCTGATCATTTTATCGCCTTTTATATCAAAGATTGTGCTTGTGCTATAATTGTGGTACAGATTTCTTCGAATTGATTTTTTTTTCAAATTAAGCTTTTTTAATTTTTGAGATTGAATGCAAAATTAAGAGATGGTACTGCGATGAGAGCAATCAAAACGTGTTGCAACATTTATATGAATGAAATTTTTACGATTTGTTAACTCAGTTCAATTACATCTTAAAAAATTTATTAAGTTTAATCACTTTTAGGATCAGCACAAATGTATCAGTTCTCATCCGCCTTATTAGTTCTTGTGATCATATTAAATACGATTTCTGTATAGCACTCCTTCAAATGTGGTCAACAAATTAATGATCGACCGAAATAATTGATAACATTGTTCAGAATTTTATTTGTTATTATTAATCAGCGCGTATCGAATGAAGCTCTTATATATATGAGTGCCTTATTGATTTCTTGCATATTATACTTGTAAAAATTAATACATTTCCTGAGATTTACTAAAATTTTACAATGATTTCTTTATAGTGAAATTTTGCAATTTCTAACTTTTTAATTTTTAATGTTTAATTTATCTAGTATTCAGTTGTTTTGTTGATCTGGTATTTTTATGTAATGATAAAATGGCGAGACTAATGAAGAATTTTTTTTACATTGTTCGGTATTAGTCATGTTTTGTGAAGGTAATATTATCAATAAAGTGATAAGTTCTCTTACCAAAACGTTCACTTGAGTACCTGATCAATTTATCCAAGTATTGATTTTGATTTTGCACCAGTACTTCTGTAACTATTCCATAATTTTTATTCAGTGTGTGAGAGAAAGTTTTTATAAAGCTAAGGGCTTTATTCAAATCTGTATCAAAATTCGAAGCAGTCAGATCAACTTTATTCTGCAAAACAAGAAAATGAAAATATGAAACTTAAGTTTTACATAAAAATAATAATCAAATAATGAAAATTTAACATTGGATACATATAGTTCAGAGTTCATCTTTCGTTGAGGCTTGCCGAATTTTAGCCATTACAGGACAACCACCATAATCATCGCCATCAGCCATTTTGAACCCTTCTTTCTGAATTGTAAAAAATTTGCATAATTATTCTCCAACAATTAAAAAATTTGCATAATTATTGAGTTGTTTTCGAACAAGTACCTGATATATTTTTTCAATAAATTGCATTTCAGTAGGGATTTCGATTGATTGCTTGCCGAAAATAGCATTGATTTGTGCAACTTGTAGATGTCGAAGTGGGTGAACATCATCCATTTTTAATATATCTGGAGATTTCTTCAGTTACTAGTTCTAGCAATTAAAATTATATTTTTTGATGTGATTTAAAAAAATTACCACGAAACACTTACTGATTTGGACTTGGAAGTTAAGAATTAAGATAAACCAACACAAATCACATTTTCGACGTATTTGTTTTGTTGCGCACAAAAGTTTGGATACCGTATTTCTCAAAATGACCAACTTACACGTGGGGTTTTCGGCAGCGACAAAAGCAATAATCTGAAGTAAACTGTCGTTTTCCAACGCATCGCTGATATCTACTGAATGTACTTTGTCCTGAAATAAAAAGAACTATTCACAACTTTTCAAATTTGTATCCCAAAAAGTTCATCAAAGACGTTTTAGCGTTTGAAGTTATCAGTAATAATCATGGATTGGATAATCTTTCAAGGCTAAATCAATTTTGGTTTTGAAAAATATTCAATGCTATGGGCCGAAGTAAAAGACATAAACTTACAGAATTTAATAAACTTACTTGTAAAAAGATGACGAACTGCTCAGATTGACTAAGCTTAAGTGAATCCAGTATCTCTTTTGTTGAATCTAACTTTAATCTAAAAATGCTATCTCAAACTTCATCAAGTTTCTTTATAGAATTATTTTCCAAAAAATATTTGCATTGGAACAAATTTGACACTTATTTTCAAAATATTTAGAGGTATTTAAGATATAATGGTGATCAAATGATCGAAATTAAACGTTTTTTGACTGCAAGAAATACCTAATTCTGCTGCAGTTTTTTTCGTGTCATTTATTCAAACTATAAGCAGTAATAAGATGATGATTATTGTCATTATGATTATAAAATTATTAAGTAAATATGAAGTTTCATTACTTAAACCTATAGAATTATATTATCCAAAAAATTTAGGATTGTAATTATCATGAATCAGCATTACTTATCGATACTTATGCAAATTATGTTCGAAGATTTCGTACACATCCTGGAGAACTTTGTCTTCTGCAATTTATTACCACCCAGCAAAAGTATAATTGGATGTCGTTGATGTGTTAATATTTCGGATGTATAGCCACCACTTATGTCAATCTGCAAATAATGCTATTATGCACATGGTGCAAGGTCAATCAGTAATTAATATTATAAGATTGAAAATTTTTAAATTTAGAAGCAGTTTGAGGTCGAAAGGCTTAGTTTCCTTAACCTTTTTTTCAAATAATTTCCAAATAATTTTTTATGCATCTTGAAAAACCATGCTCTTTGTTACCAAGCTAGCACTTCTGATACTTTTTTCTGACATAGTCTTGAAGTTATGCAGAAAAATGTGATCACACTTTTAGTTTCATGTCAAATGAACTATATTTTGAAAAGTCCTAAATACGTAACTAATATTTGATAAATATTCAGTTCAAATAATTTTACTATGAAATATCATACAAAAAACCGCAAACTAGAAACTAAGCTATGTGATTTTAATTACAAAGGTACTTACTACAGACGGTAGTGATGAATATATCACGAAATTAGTCAGTTCTTGAATCTCAAAAACACCATTAAAATCTATGCGCTTTCTTTCCTCGCCTGTACGGATTGTGTATACGATATTGGCATGGCTCAAATTTTGTTGTAATAAATTTCTGTGCTTACTCATTAATTTTGAGTGTTTAATTACTATTTTGCAGTTAATGCTTTTTTTCAATATGCTAATGCTAAGCAGTGCTGTGCAACTGAATCAAATTAGTAATATCTGTGATGAATTCAGCGATGAGAGTGAATGTCCGAAGCGAATTTTGATAGTATTATATAGAGAATGGATCAGTGATGGAAAAAAATGATCAATGGAAAATGAAAAAAGGATTTAGTTTTTGCAAGTAATCATCAAAATATTATCAAATATTTAAATAGCACAGTAAATTTATGATCAAAGAATTGTGCATATTTAGCAGCTAATGTTTATGATATATCAATTATCTTTATTAATACAAATCATTCAATCTATCACAAATTTAAATTAAGTGAAAAAAATTGCAAAATTGATAGATAAATTATTATTAAATATTGAAAAAGCATTTGAATATAATTTACTGACAGGCAGTTGAAACTGAAAAAAAATTGCATACCTCTTTTTAATCAAATAAATAAAATGATATTTTCCTTTTAAATTTTCTGCCATTTCCATAAAAACCTTTGCTTCTTTGCTTTTCAAGTCATTGAATATTGCAACAGTTGCTGTAGTGCTAACTTTGTCATCCAAAAACTTCATTTTACCTTTAAAATTTTGATTTCTACTTTGGTTCAATCAGAAATTGTAATAATCATTTGTGTTGATTAGTTAAACAAAGAAAGTAAGTAGAGATTTAGTACATTCATATTCAAAACTTATGCAATTGCTTAATGAATTTTAGGATATGATAACTTCATGTCATCTCATCCCTACAAAAATATACCAAAATTTATTTTTTTATTTTTTTAGATTCATTTTTTGTCTACTTTAAGGTTGCTATAAGTTAGTGTAGTCCTTATTTTTACATACTGCAAATTTCAAATAATGCAAATCAAAACTGTAAAAAAAATTTTTGCTAAAGGTTTGAAATAATTTTGTAAAAGTTTAGATTTAAATTAGTAAGCAAAATACAATTAACACACCTGCTTTTAATAGCTTTAATTCAGATTCTGAGTGGATTTCTTGAGCTGGTGACTGCATCACACTGCAGAATGACAATTATCTTATATCAGAATAGAAAGATATCCTAATCAAGTAAATTACATTCAATTGTTATCCGTAATACTTACGGAAATAACGTGGGCTTTTTAACTCTTATATGACTTTCAACTTTTGCACTATTTCACTGCATTTCAGTTTGTCATTCCTATTTTTTTGCTATTACTTTTTTTTTTTGATTTTGATAACACTGCCTATTGTGTTTTTGCCTAAAAATTGCCATTAATGACTAATCTGTTATTTTTTAACTTTTTTTGAATTAAATTAAATGTTTATTTAAAGACTTACAGTTTAACCCAATCAAAGTAGTACATCTCATCACGAAATGCTTGAGTTTGAGCGAAAATTGCATTCTTTTTGTAGACAAATAACGCAGGATATTTGTTAGTATTAGCGACATAATCTTCGCATAAGTCATCCCAGTCGTGACATGCCACACCGCCGAAAGCAGCGTCTGGATAACTTGAGACTAAATATTCCGATGCTTGAGACCACAAATAAAATGCATACATGCTTGGAATACTCTCTATAAGCAAAACCAGTTAAATCTCAATTTATAAGTTTGCTTCACTTGGAACAGTTACAGACAAACATATTTAGTCGTCGCAAATCAGTCAGAGTTCATTTTATACCTTTGATAATAATAGCAATTTTATGAGATTTACCACAGGTCAAATAATAATGTAATGGAAATTAGTCTTTTGAATCATTTTGCTTTGTAAAAACTTAATTCAAAACTTGAGGATCAATTAATAATATTTGCTTTGATGCTAAATACAAACAAATCAATTAAAAAATAATGGTTTTAAAATATGTCTAACAAATGCTATCCTATTTATAAATGCTCATTTTTAAGAAATAGCAGTGTTTTCATACATAGCTTAGAACTAAAATAAGAATATATTTTCAAAAATGTATTCTTATTTAGTGTATTTCAAAAATGATTCTCGTATTTTTCAAAGAATGAAGAATTAAGCGCTCAATTATTTTTTAGCAATTCAAGGCTTCAAATACCTCAAACGAAACAAATATGCATGATATTAAAATTACTCAAGTATTCGCAATAATTGCCAACCAAGAAAACTTGAAATAATTTTTATTTTCAAAATGTTCTGTTCATTAATAAATATTAATAATAACATCAAAATTTCTTCTGTTTGATCACACTTATTTTGATTTGTAAGTTTAAAATATTATATGATTAAAAAGCTTAACTTGACCTTTGTTCCAAAAAAGCACAAATGTAAGTTTGTCCTCGTTCATGGCGTTGTTTAATATAGTTGCATTCATATGTTCTAACTGATTCCAACTTAATGACTTATCGAAAGTTCGTTTTTCTAATAAAAATGACTCAATGAGATTAAGTTCAAAGGGTGAAAGAGAAATTATGTATTTGTATTTTGCTTTCAGTGGTTTTCGACGCTTTCTAATTAATTCCTGAAATATCAGTATTGATGCAAAACTGGAATAAAAAATGCAAATTCGGAATTAAAATATTAATTCATTTTCAATCATTAATCTAATTTAATTATTATGCCATTTATCCATACTTATTTAATAAACATATTACTGTAAAAATCGTGGTTGTCATCATTATCTATCACCAGTTATTAGAGTAAAAATGTAAAATTTTTGTAGTTGAAATCATTTTTCTATTTTAATTATTTAAATAAAAATGTAAACCTTTTATGTAAGTTATTTTTTTAACGACTTGACTGAATTTTTTGATGAGATTTTTAACACTTCAAATTCTCTTGATAAAAATTCACTAACCTCAGTAGATAATTGACGAATGAACCCTACTTCTTTATCAGCTTCTTTACTACAGTACAACGTCAAATCGTGCTTGCTGTGTCGAGAAAGTGCGCTGCAATCACTAATTATAATATTGCACAAAAACTAAATATTTCTCACTTGCTCAATCGTTTCTATCATAGGAATAGAAAGTGCGTATTAACTTTTATGGCATTTTCACGTCATTATCACTATAACAAGTGATATTTTTTAATGTTAACGATAACACTGCAATATATCATTACTGCCATTCACTTGCAAGCAATTAGTTAATTATTCCACTTCCCACCGAAAAATACAATCAATTCATTAATTGTTTGACTTTAGCTGCAAGTTTTCAGATTA